CTGCCTTTGATATGCCTACCTCTAGCTCATACATGATCCGTAGTGAATCAGCACTGATCGCTAAACACCGGCAGCAATGTTTCTTGACGAAGTGAACGGCAGTTGTTGCTGAGGATGCTAACGAGCGGCTAACGAGCCCCTTAAAGGCAGTCGGCAGAATTTGCATTCCCTTTCGGCACATTTTAGGCCTTTTCGACTTGCAGAACGTGATTATGAGCTTCGAACCAGGTGAAAAGGCCGTTTTTGGGGTGTTTATCCTATTTCCAAAAGGCAGCCTGGACGAGCGTTTCAATGGAAAGTTGGGAGGCTGGCATGAAAACCCTGCAGGCCGTAATCCTTGCTTTGGATAGGATGTATAATGCGGAAGCAGTCGTGGGGTCTCGCGCCGAATATGCAATAAAAGCCGTCTGAGCGCGCGCCAGTTCGAGAGCAATTTCTCGGCGCAGGAAGAGCATCAACCAGCCAGGCTTCACCTGGAGGTCAGAAGGAGGGCCAGGAATCCCACCACGGCTAAATCCCCCAAGGCTTGAACCTGCCGGGACACTGCCTTCAACCCCTTAGCCCTTTGCCCACTTGATTCGTTTTAAAACAGGAAATGACCAGCAAAGCTGATAAAGTAGATCACAGGATGAACATTCGCCTCGCTGTTGGTCAGTTCATTGCGATAAGAGGTGGATCAAGTGGATCAACAATGGTGTGTGCCTATGTTGCAAAGAACAATCCACCAAACATCTGCTTGAGCGCTGGTAGCCCAAAAAAGTTTCTTGCAGCATATATCAACGAGATATTCGTGCATAAACCTAAAGCAGCTAGTCGTCAGCTCATACTAATTTTTAGTCAGAATCTCCGACACTAACTGAATAGTGTTACCTATCATTTAGAGTCCTTTCCTTCGAAGATAGGCGAGCGTACTTCGTGGCCTCGGGAGAGGGTTCGGGTGTGGAGGTTATCACTCTGGTGTATGATGAAAGCTCTGGTACCGCTTCCGAGTCTGAACCATCTGAAAAACCGCTCCAAAACCTGGTGAATCTATAAAAAAAAAAAAAACTCAACCATTCAAGACTTACCCTCACTTTCAGATCTATTGACCTTCCGACGGTTGAGAGTGGAACTGCGTGTGGAAGATGTCCTAGACGGTGATTTTGACAGTGGCCGCTTTGGAATAGAAGCAACCTTGGGATCCTAAGTCATTGCTTGCTCAAAAATTACTGTGATAACGAAAAAAGGCATACACTACCTTTGGTTGAGATGTCGATGAAAGATTCGGCAAACCCTGCTTGCGCAGCTTCACGAGTTTCTTCTCATATAATGAGCGTGTCGTCCCACTGACTGGACCTACATCCACGTTATATTTTGTGAGTTCATCACGCAGCTCAAGATCAGTGAGCAATGAGACATCTTTCATGTCTTACAAAAGACCTGAAACAGTGTCTCTGCCAATGTGATACCCATGCGGACCATATTCTACATGCCGATACCAATCAATACGAAGCTTGTACACTACCACATCACATGAAATCAGTACAGCTTTGGAAGGTTCAACTCGGAAGGAAGAAAAACGACTTGAAAGAAGAGAAAGTCGGCCGCAAGAGATGATCAGAAGAACATAGAGAAAGTTAGAAAATGCAGCTTGTGCAGCTTCTCGCTATTGTACAGTATGTTTATAGTGAAGTAGTAGAGATACGAATGGATCGACGTCAAATCTGGAGCTTCACAGTATTTGAAGGCAGCGTCCAGGCAAATGTGGACATATGGGGACCTTA